ACAATGACATGTTTAACCTCAGCAGGGTCAATGCCAGAAGAGAGCAGTTGAAGATGTGTGTTAAGGAAGGTGCAAGACAGGGGGAGAGAGATCTGATAAGGTAAGATGGGACAGGATCAAGTGGGCAAGTGGTGGGGCGAGAGGAAAGTAGAAGCTCAGCCACCTCTTCAGTAGCCAGAGAGAAAGTCGGAAGGGTAGGAAAGGCATCATCAACGTGTGGTTGAGAAAGAGAACGGCAAGGTGGGGAGAATTCTTTCCTTAGCTGTTCAATCTTGTCAGTAAAGTAACATGCAAAGCCATTGGCTGTAAGTTTAGTTTAGGGGTTGGTCACAGCAGGGCGAAGAAGAGAGTTAAAGGTGTCAAAGAGACACCTGGGATTGCGGGAGCATGAACTAATGAGAGAGGAAAAGTATGACTGTTTGGCGAGGGCAAGGACTGTGTTGTATGAACACAATATCAATCGATAATAGAGATAGTCTGCCTGGGTGCGAGACTTCCTCCTGGAGCGTTCAGCACAACGGGAGCATCTTTGCAGATAGAGTGTTGATTTAGTATGCCTTGGTTGGGGGCGTGTCCTCCTCGAGGTGCATGTTTGGAGTGGGGCTGTAGCATTTACGGCAGTGTTGAGGGTAGTGTTATATGTGGAGATGGCCACTGAGGGACAGGAGAGGGAAGGGATGGATAACAGTTGTGAATCAATATCAGCTGACAGCTGCTAGAGGGCAATAGGATTAAGGTTCCTCCTGAGTTGAGGGGGGTTAGGCTGAGGTTGTTGGGTGAGGGGGTACTTGAGAGCAAACGATAAGAGGTGGTGAACAGAGAGAAGAAATGGAGTGTTGCAGATATTAGATACTGTACATGCATAAGAGAAAATGAGGTTGAGGGTATTGCCAGCTACATGGGTGGGAGAATTAGCCCACTGTGATAGCCCGAGGGAGGAAGCAATTGAAAGTAGTTTAGAGGCTGCTGATATTACATGGTGGATTAGCAGAGGATGTAGTGATGTGATATTACATTGTGGAATAGCAGAAGATGTAGTGATGTGATATTACATGGTAGAATAGCAGAGGATGTAGTGATACTACATGGTGGAATAGCAGAGGATGTAGTGATATTACATGGTGGAATAGCAGAGGATGTAGTGATGTGATATTACATGGTGTTATAGCAGAGGATGTAGTGTTGTGATATGGTGGAATAGCAGAGGATTTAGTGATGTGATATTACTTGGTGGAATAGCAGAGGATGTAGTGTTGTGGTATGGTGGAATAGCAGAGGATGTAGTGTTGTGATATGGTTGACTAGCAGAGGATGTAGTGTTGTGATATGGTGGAATAGCAGAGGATGTAGTGTTGTGATATGGTTGACTAGCAGAGGATGTAGTGTTGTGATATGGTTGAATAGCAGAGGATGTAGTGTTGTGATATGGTGGAATAGCAGAGGATTTAGTGATGTGATATTACTTGGTGGAATAGCAGAGGATGTAGTGTTGTGGTATGGTGGAATAGCAGAGGATGTAGTGTTGTGATATGGTTGACTAGCAGAGGATGTAGTGTTGATGATGGTGGAATAGCAGAGGATGTAGTGTTGTGATATTACATGGTGGAATAGCAGAGAATGTAGTGATATGATATTACATGGTAGAATAGCAGAGGATGTAGTGATATTACATGGTGGAATAGCAGAGGATGTAGTGATGTGATATTACATGGTGGGATAGCAGAGGATGTAGTGATATTACATGGTGGAATAGCAGAGGATGTAGTGATATGATATTACATGGTGGAATAACAGAGGACATAGTTATATTACATGGTGGAATAGCAGAGGATGTAGTGATATTACATGGTGGAATAGCAGAGGATGTAGTGATGTGATATTACATGGTGGGATAGCAGAGGACATAGTTATATTACATGGTGGAATAGCAGAGGATGTAGTGATATTACATGGTGGAATAGCAGAGGATGTAGTGATGTGATGTTACATGGTGGAATAGCAGAGGATGTAGTGATGTGATATTACATGGTAGAATAGCAGAGGATGTAGTGATGTGATATTACATGGTGGAATAGCAGAGGATGTAGTGATGTGATATTACATGGTGGAATAGCAGTGGATGTAGTGTTGTGATATGGTGGAATAGCAGAGGATGTAGTGATGTGATATTACATGGTGGAATAGCAGAGGATGAAGTGATGTGATATTACTTTGTGGAATAGCAGAGGATGTAGTGATATTACATGGTGGAATAGCAGAGGACGTAGTGATGTGATATTACATGGTGGAATAGCAGAGGATGTAGTGATGTGATATTACATGGTGGAATAGCAGAAGATGTAGTGATGTTACATGGTGGAATAGCAGAGGATGTAGTGATGTGATATTACATGGTGGAATAGCAGAGGATGTAGTGATGTGATATTACATGGTGGAATAGCAGTGGATGTAGTGTTGTGATATGGTGGAATAGCAGAGGATGTAGTGATGTGATATTACATGGTGGAATAGCAGAGGATGTAGTGATGTGATATTACTTTGTGGAATAGCAGAGGATGTAGTGATATTACATGGTGGAATAGCAGAGGATGTAGTGATGTGATATTACATGGTGGAATAGCAGAGGATGTAGTGATGTTACATGGTGGAATAGCAGAGGATGTAGTGATGTGATATTACATGGTGGAATAGCAGAGGATGTAGTGATATTACATGGTGGTATAGCAGAGGATGAAGTGATGTGATATTACATGGTGGAATAGCAGAGGATGAAGTGATGTGATATTACTTGGTTGAATAGCAGAGGATGTAGTGATGTGATATTACATGGTGGAATAGCAGAGGATGTAGTGTTGTGATATGGTGGAATAGAAGAGTATGTAGTGCTGTGATATTACATGGTGGAATAGCAGAGGATGTAGTGATGTGATATTACATGGTGGAATAGCAGTGGATGTAGTGTTGTGATATGGTGGAATAGCAGAGGATGTAGTGATGTGATATTACATGGCGGAATAGCAGAGGATGTAGTTATGTGATATTACATGGTGGAATAGCAGAGGATGTAGTGATGTTACATGGTGGAATAGCAGAGGATGTAGTGATGTTACATGGTGGAATAGCAGAGGATGTAGTGATGTGATATTACATGGTGGAATAGCAGAGGATGTAGTGATGTGATGTTACATGGTGGAATAGCAGAGGATGTAGTGATGTGATATTACATGGTGGAATAGCAGAGGATGTAGTGATGTGATATTACATTGTGGAATAGCAGAAGATGTAGTGATGTGATATTACATGGTGTAATAGCAGAGGATGTAGTGATGTGATATTACATGGTGGAATAGCAGAGGATGTAGTGATGTGATATTACATGGTGGAATAGCATAGGATGTAGTGATGTGATATTACATGGTGGAATAGCAGAGGATGTAGTGTTGTGATATGGTGGAATAGCAGAGGATGTAGTGTTGTGATATGGTGGAATAGAAGAGGATGTAGTGATATGCTGTTATTTAGCAGTGGATGTAGTGTTGTGATATGGTGGAATAGCAGAGGATGTAGTGATGTGATATTACATGGTGGAATAGCAGAGGATGTAGTGATGTGATATTACATGGTGGAATAGCAGAGGATGTAGTGATGTGATATTACATGGTGGAATAGCAGTGGATGTAGTGATGTGATATTACATGGTGGAATAGCAGAGGATGTAGTGATGTGATATTACATGGTGGAATAGCAGAGGATGTAGTGATGTGATATTACATGGTGGAATAGCAGAGGATGTAGTGTTGTGATATGGTGGAATAGCAGAGGATGTAGTGTTGTGATATGGTGGAATAGCAGAGGATGTAGTGATGTGATATTACATGGTGGAATAGCAGTGGATGTAGTGTTGTGATATGGTGGAATAGCAGAGGATGTAGTGATGTGATATTACATGGTGGAATAGCAGAAGTGCCAATTTGATATGGTGGAATAGCAGGATGTAGTATTTGTGATATGGTGGAATAGAAGGATGTAGTGATATATACTGTTATTTGCTTAGTGGATGTAGTGTTGTGATATGGTGGAATAGCAGAGGATGCTTGAAGTGATGTGATATTACATGGTGGGAATGCTTAGGGATGTAGTGATGTGTGATATTACATGGTGGAATAGCAGAGAGGATGTAGTGATGTATTACATGGTGGAATAGCAGAGGATGTAGTGATGTGATATTACATGGTGGAATAGCAGAGGATGTAGTGTTGTGATATGGTGGAATAGCAGAGGATGTAGTGTTGTGATATGGTGGAATAGCAGAGGATGTAGTGATGTGATATTACATGGTGGAATAGCAGTGGATGTAGTGTTGTGATATGGTGGAATAGCAGAGGATGTAGTGATGTGATATTACATGGTGGAATAGCAGAGGATGTAGTGTTGTGATATGGTGGAATAGCAGAGGATGTAGTGATGTGATATTACATGGTGGAATAGCAGAGGATGTAGTGTTGTGATATTACATGGTGGAATAGCAGAGGATGTAGTGATGTGATATTACATGGTGGAATAGCAGAGGATGTAGTGTTGTGATATGGTGGAATAGCAGAGGATGTAGTGTTGTGATATGGTGGAATAGCAGAGGATGTAGTGATGTGATATTACATGGTGGAATAGCAGTGGATGTAGTGTTGTGATATGGTGGAATAGCAGAGGATGTAGTGATGTGATATTACATGGTGGAATAGCAGAGGATGTAGTGGTGTGATATGGTGGAATAGCAGAGGATGTAGTGTTGTGATATGGTGGAATAGAAGAGGATGTAGTGATATGCTGTTATTTAGCAGTTTTTGTATGTGTGCAGACAGCTACGTGCAGACTGTCAGTTTTACATTAACAGGCTCTGGGCCCTGGGCCAGACGGGCATTTGAGGACACATGTATAAGGAAATGGGAGCCAGTCCCCTCCTATACCGTCCCCTTTTACTTTCGCTGCCAGTTGTTACTGTTTTTCTGTTTGTGTTCACATATCTCTATCTACGTGTGTCCCTCATCCTGCATCTTCGAATAGCTGTCTGTCTGGGTTTGTTTATGTTGGTATATTTATATCTGTACTGGCTGTGTACAGTTGTCAGCAAAGCTATAGTATGATCTGTCTCTGTTTCTACATATGCATCTCTGTCTCTGTGTGTGTGTGTGTGTGTGTGTCTGTACGTCTCTGTCTCTGTGTGTGTGTGTGTGTCTGTGTGTCTCTGTGTGTGTGTGTCTCTGTGTGTGTGTGTGTCTGTGTGTCTCTCTGTGTGTGTGTGTGTGTGTGTGTCTCTGTGTGTGTGTCCCTGTGTGTCTCTCTCTCTGTGTGTGTGTGTCTCTGTGTGTGTGTGCATGTGTTTCAATTATCAGAGATTGTCTGCTTTGATCTGTGTGTGTGTCTGTCTGTCTATCTTTCACCATTTATCAATGTATTTGCAGTTAGTATACCCTGACATATATTATCTCTTTGTATCTCCGTGTAGCTATATAGTGACTGCTAATCTTGGCACTGCAGATGTCCATGAACTACATTTCACCAACTCAAAGGGTTACAGGTTCAGGAAGTAATAACAAAAGGTACAATGTTTCCAATCTGCCTTCAGAGTTAATCAGTGTTTGTTACACAAATCTATCTACATCTGTCTATGTCAAGATGGGCGAGATTGTCACAATGTTTTGTTTTACGAGGGGTTGGGATGGACAGTAACAGGTATATTTGGTATCAGGAACATAGGATGGAGGGGTACAATAATCTATATCATGATGGATATAGATAGTAAAAACCTGTCCCAGTTTAGCCTTAATGAAAGCTCAGACGATTTGCTTAACCTAGTCATTGTCCATTCTAATCTCAGACATCATGTGATGTCACGTTAGGACTGCCCCAGACGCCAGCTGCTCGTTAAAGCACAGATTACCATGTCTGATTATATTTAGACTATAATCTGTCCAAAGTGCATATTTACCTTTTCATGTCCTTACCTTTAAATAGGTATGTAATACGTGCAGATGTGTACATAGGGTATGTACATGTACTGCGATTTTATTTATTTTTGTTGTGTCTATGTATATATTTGTACATGTACACACACATGTATGTACACACTGGTATACATCATTTCGTTGATTTATTTTACCCTAACATGAAGGTATCATTTAAAAGGATACTCTAAGCACCAAAACAACTTTCACGCCCCTGTTGTTTAAACAATTTACCATTTACCATTTACCATTACCAAAAATAATACAATTACTAATTGTATTTACCTTTTTCCAGCGCTGAGGCTTCCACGACGCTGCTTACCTCTCCATCACCCACGATGTCATGGAGAAGGCATGGCCTTCCCCGCCAATGTTTAATCCAGAGAAGCACTTGGGGCCTGATGTGCATGCGCGGCAGGCACCACAGGAAAGCATTGAATCAGAGATTTTGTATGGGGGCTTCCGCATCACGTGATCACATTTTACTCAGCCAGTGCAGTGGTAGTGCCTCTAGTGGCTGTCAAGGAGAATTTAACCCTGAATTGTAAACACCGAAGTTTCTTTACATTGCAGGATTACAGTGACAGGACCACTGCACCCAGACCACTTCATTAAGATGCAGTGGCGTGGGTGATTTTAGTGGTCATTTTAATTACTTGGCTTATGCAGCACTAGCCACAGCTAATGAAAATGATGGTTTTATCCTAAAGTAGAAAGCACAGCAAGTTTACTTTAGAAGTTCGGTCAGACACAGGAGGAACCTGCAAGCTCTAGCAGGCAACTACCAGAGAATATAATAAACCTCTTGGTAAGTGGCGAGAAAAATGTCAAGAAATGGAGTATAATCCTTAATATTCAAGGGGCAAAGGAAACAAAAACTGAAAGAAAACAATGACAGACACTTTAAAAAAAATAAAAAGTGAAATGTCCGAATATAGAAATCAACAAACATAATGCCTATATTGATGCTTTTTGTTGTTGTTGTTGTCAATCTGTGTTTTTTGAGGCAGGTTCATGTTACAAGGGAAGCAAAAAGGAGTTAGTACAGTAGTGGGTATTTATATATAAAAACAGGAACATATCAAAACAGATACATGAGGGTTAACTCCTGAGCAATGCAGCCTCTTTATGACAATAATAATAAAACCGACATCACATGCATGAATAAACAGCTAAAAATGAAACAAAAGAAATATACATGAATGAACTGTGATTTAACGGTCAATCTTGGTAGATATGAGTAGATAACGTAAGTGTACCACCCCAGGGATGTCAGGTGCATTACTGAAACGTGCAATATTCGTCACACATGGGAAATTAGCGATCATAGCGAACATGTGCATAAAGTAACAGGAATCTTGGTACATGACGGAGTTGTAGGCTTTAGGGAAACATGCATCAAGTGGCTCAGCCGAGCAGTTAGCCTATTCCCATTGTGGGTATGACACAGCCCGTCCGAGATCGCCAGTCTGCAGGAGTTCCAATATTCCTTAAAGGAACACTATAGTCACCTAACTTACTTTTGCTAAATAAAGCAGTTTTAGTGTATAGAACATTCCCCTACAATTTCACTGCTCAATTCACTGTCATTTAGGAGTTAAATCACTTTGTTTCTGTTTATGCAGCCCTAGCCACACCTCCCCTGGCTATGATTGACAGAGCCTGCATGAAAAAAAAAACTGGTTTCACTTTCAAACAGATGTAATTTACCTTAAATAATTCTACCTCAATCTCTAAATTGAACTTTAATCACATACAGGAGGCTCTTGCAGGGTTAACATAGCAGGGGATAAGAAAATCTTAATTAAAAGGAACTTGCAATAAAGAAAGCCTAAATAGGGCTCTCTTTACAGGAAGTGTTTATGGAAGGCTGTGCAAGTCACATGCAGGGAAGTGTGACTCATAAACAAAGGGATTTAACTCCTAAATGGCAGAGGATTGAGCAGTGAGGCTGCAGGGGCATGTTCTACACACCAAAACTGCTTCATTAAGCTAAAGTTGTTCAGGTGACTATAGTGTCCCTTGAAGGTAGTTCAGAGGTTGTGCAACATGCCACGGTCCCTGTCGCGCCTCAACCACCCTGGACGACCTTCATCCCGGCTTGAATATGCCCAGCTTTGGAAGGCGACTGTGAGCCCTTATCTCAGGCATAGCCGGTGCGGTCCACTACAAACTGCTACAGGACCTGTAACCACTCTTCGGACGCGGGTACCTTGCAGAGGCTGCGCATGTGAGTTAGGTGCTGGACCTTGTATGGGAGGCAGAAGGTACCTGCACTGCAATTTTTGCCAGACAGAGACTCAATATAGGATGTAGAGCATATAAATCCTATATGTTGCATATGTGGGATACAAGTAATAGTAAATAGTAGAAATAAGCATTATTTCTACTATTTACTATTACTTGTATCCCACATATGCAACATATAGGATTTATATGCTCTACATCCTATATTGCTCCACTAATTAGAATCAATTCTATACTCCCCCGATATTATTAGGTATTTATCAGATACAATCTCCCGGCTAGCACAGACGTGTGCTTTTTCTCATGATTTATAGTGATGTCCCGAACGGTTCGCCGAACGGTTCGCCGCAGTTCGCCGTGAACGGTTCGCCACGGACTCCAGTCAGCAGACACATTCCAGCCAATCAGCAGCAGACCCTCCCGCCCAGACCCTCCCACCTCCTGGACAGCTCACTAAGAATGCAGCTTCACAATGGATGCTGTCCAGGAGGTGGGAGGGTCTGAGAGGGAGGGTCTGCTGCTGATTGGCTGGAATGGGTCTGCTGACTGGAGTCCGCGGCGAACCGTTCGGGAAATCACTAATGATTTCTATACCGTGTGACTTCAGGGTCTTCTCACTTCGAGTTATCGAGCTCCGCATTTATGTTATCCCATTCATTTTAGGTTTCCACTATTTATTTAGTGTGTAGCACTTTGGGTGATTGCTATTTTTTGCAATTTTTACATTTAATGAATACATTCTTTTTTGTTTTCTATTTTTCTAGTTTCTCAAGTGTACTTTAGACTTCTACATCTATTGTAGAAACTTTTAGTACTTTACTTTTTCTCCCAGTATCCTCTCATTTGTACACTACCTCCAAACATTTTTGTCTTTCACTTTTTAAAAAAATTTTTTTTTCACATTTATAACCAGAATTGATGAACACCGAGTGCCAAGGCAAGGACTCGATATCTTGGGATGTACCATGACACTGGAGATACCAATGAAAAAAATTATATAAATGGTGCACGACTCACAAAACAAGAATGTATAACTTCATAGCAAAAATATGTTAATTATATATAAACACAGGTTGGTTCTCATGATTCGTATAAGACAGAAATAGGTTCCACCACATCCAGGTCTTCCATGGGGAAGCACAGAAGCAGGGAAGATCATATACACTGTCGGTTTTCATGCACTGTCTGGTTAATAGTTGCATTAAAAAAAATTTAAAATCCCAGGGACAGTTGGGGGCCGAATAATCAACTTGTACAGTTTTTACAGCTAATTTTTGACAAATATTTGGTGCAATTTTTTATTTTTATTTCATATGTTGGTTATTTAGAGCTCTGTTATTTTTATATTAACACAATTTTTTTGGCAAAACAACAATATGAAAAAAATCTGAAATACTGACTGCATGACATTATTATATTTATATACGAAACTGACTACCTTTCTTTTTAAATGTAGAGAGCAAACTGTCACACACTAACATACATACATACACACTATTACACATATAGACACCCTAATCGATACATACACAGATATATATACATATACACACTGTTACACATATACATATACAAATACACAAACACCATATTAAACATATACACACACTCATGGATATATATACACACACACACGCACCCTATTAAACATATGTATTGTTGGGTAATCTAAGGTTTTATATGTATAGAATATAGATTTAATAATATCTGATGATATTCACACACACATAGAGCCTTCAGGGACCTGTAGTTCTTTGTTTTAAGCGGTGATATAAACACCTATGAACGGCAGATGGCCAATAAACAGACTTTGCTTAAAATATATATAAATTTAATAATACACACTATAAAATGCAAAGCAACAAAACAATACAATTATAATCAATTTGCTATATTATATATGAGTTTATGTCAACAAGTCAATTAGTTTACTTGACAAGCCTACGAGTCAACATTACACTTTGTCTCATCTATAATCTTATCAACAAAGGACAATAAAAGCTATTACAAACTTCACAGCAATACCAGTATACAGAATTAATCATATGACACCCCTTGCATTAATGATACAATTGTCATTATATTAATTAGTTAAATATCAACCAACCCTGCTAAGTATATACCATCAGTTTAACTACAGTACGTTTATATAAGGTTTCTGATAGCCTTAGTATATATATATATATATTGAACTGATCGACTTCTAAAGAAGAAATCAAGAATGTTCAGACTAAGGAAGTTATATCTGACTCAGGCTGCAGGTAGAATGAGATATAACTGTTCTATCAATAGGGATCAGTTCACAATATAGACACACAGGGCATTCAATAATCCAGTTTATTTAATATAAAACCTTTATACATCATCAAGAGTCTAGGATGAATTAATTCAATTTGGGATTCTTCTCTCTGGGTGCTCTGATCTGTAACTCAGTCTATTGCCCTTAGTCAGTCAATCTCCTCCTTTCTTAGCCCTCTGTTTTCTCCTTTGATCTTTTTTTAAGATGATCTGAAGCTCTTCATCATGCAATATGTATATATCCTGTATCCATCTAACCTGTATGATTAACTGATTGATACATTCATCTTTACAAAGAAAAATAGAATCTAATTATATTAGTATATCTATATTACCTTTTACCCCATAATCAGTCAAGGATGCAGTTATAGACATTACTGTAGCAATCACACATTTAGTTTACATTTGTATATCATGCATGATTCCAATAGATTCATTTAAGTTCTAATATCCTGAAAATATGGAAGCGACCTCAGACTTTGTGTTCGTATGGCTGACAAACACTCTGGATTGCCTGTGATGTTTATGCACAAACAATTGCATAGTTTGTATACCCCTTTGAAGCTCTGTGAGTTTAAGTATCTCGGATTGTAAAGTCCCATTATGTAATAAACCATTGTTCTTGTTACCCTTGTACACAGATAGCTCACAAAATAAACTGTAGATAAGTATTCCTCCTGTTTACTTCTTAAAGGGACCTGAACAACTTTAGCTTAATGAAGCAGTTTTGGTGTATAGAACATGCCCCTGCAGCCTCACTGCTCAATCCTCTGCCATTTAGGAGTTAAATCCCTTTGTTTATGAACCCTAGTCACACCTCCCTGCATGTGACTTGCACAGCCTTCCATAAACACTTCCTGTAAAGAGAGCCCTATTTAGAGATTGATGTAGAATTATTTAAGGTAAATTACATCTGTTTGAAAGTGAAACCAGTTTTTTTTTTTTCATGCAGGCTCTGTCAATCATAGCCAGGGGAGGTGTGGCTAGGGCTGCATAAACAGAAACAAAGTGATTTAACTCCTAAATGACAGTGAATTGAGCAGTGAAATTGCAGGGGAATGATCTATACACTAAAACTGCTTTATTTAGCTAAAGTAATTTAGGTGACTATAGTGTTCCTTTAAGGTTACAAAATACAAAGTTCCTTTGACCTGTGTTGAGACAGCATTACGTAATGTCCAGGCCAGTCTACCAGCATCCATATTGTTTTCTTTTAATATTAAAAATTATGGGGCACCAAATAGCGCAACAGTATACACAGATATATGCATCTACACACACACTATTATATATACATATACACACACACGCTATTATACATAGACAGATATATACAAATGCACACACACTTACATATACACAGATATATACATATACACATACACTATTATATATACACAGATATATGCATATACACACACACACACTATTATATATACACACACACAGATATATACAAATGCACACACACTTACATATACACATATACACACTATTATATATACACATATATATACATATACACACACACTATTATATATACACACTATTATACGCACACACACACTATTATATATACACACTGTTAAACATACACACACTATTATACATACACACTATTATACATACACAGATATATACATATATGCACTGTTACATATTTACACGCACACTTTATTAAACATATGAACACACACACTATTTTACATACATAGAGATATACATGTACACACACTGTTACACATATACTCACTCACAGAGATGCAAACACTAATGTATAGACATATACACACATTGTACACAGACACACACATACACTCACAGATACACATTGATATATACACATACAAATACAGTTACACATATAAACGCTCACACACACTCTTGCACATACACTCACCCACTAAAATTTACACATATACACATACTATTAAATATATACTTTTAACATTTATACTTCATAAAATCTACATAAAATAATGTACAGGGACTGGTCTGTGCATTCTCTCAGTGTATTGCTATTTGAACGTTTTTTAGTGCTGTTTCATTTATGTACAACTGTTTTTACTGGGTGCAGCCCTCTGCTGTCTTTGTTTACAGTATACAAGCCCATATAGTCAGTGTAGCACTCTATTATCTCTGTGTAGTATCTGTGTTGTTCTCTATACTAGCTGTACTTCCTCCACAGACTCTCCTCAAATGTATGTTTTCCTGTGGTCACCTCTTAAACGGCGCCTATAATGAATGTGCTTGATCCAAAAATGAACCTGGTCTTTTTTGTGTGTTTGCTCGGTTCCTAAATCTGTATTTTGTATATATTTTAGTTTTACAGCAGCACCCCATTAAAGCCAATGTTAAAATTAGTGTAGGACCCACCGATTATTGGGGTACTGTGATATAGTGGTGGGCTTAACGCGATTTTTGCCGGGACAGGAGCCTAAACCTCTATCCCAGCAAAAATGGGCCACTTGGCAAATATTTATGAAACAAGGTGGGTGTATATGGCCAAAGGATCCTGTCACATATTAATGGCAGGGTGTTGAGTTTCTGTCATTTTATTAACATACACATCATTTCAAATATATATATATATATATATATATACACTGAACAAACTTATAAACGCAACACTTTTGCCCCCATTTTTCATGAGCTGAACTCAAGGATCTAAGACTTTTTCTATGTACACAACAGGCCTATTTCTCTCAAATATAGTTCACAAATCTGTCTAAATCTGTGTTAGTGAGCACTTCTCCTTTGCCGAGATAATCCATCCACCTCACAGCTGTGGCATATCAAGATGCTGATTCGACGGCATGATTATTGCACAGTGTGACAGACCCATCTGTCTTTGAAATACTTTTATTCCTCCTTGGTTCGTCTGTTTGTTCGTCTAATTGACTGTCCGTACAGCCGTTTCGTTTATTTACCCTTTTCCTGAATGAACTGCCGAACGGCCGGCCACTCAGCATGGAAGTGTGCTGCTGGTTAACCTCTTGGCCCCATTAGAATGTTGTGGTTAACCGCAGACACTTCCTAACTGTCGAATGCTGACTGGGCGGTCGTCGTTCGTATGTCGACCACGAGGCGGTGGCCATCTTGGACATACAAGTGCCTAGCGGTGTTCGTGAACGATTTCATGGAACTAAAAACGGACACTATTTCTCACAAACACCACTGAAGCTGCCGACCTCCCTCCGTCTGATCATTCAGCATATGAACGCCGGCCCGTTCGTTACTTTGTCTGCACAAATGGACTTTTCCTGGATAGCATGGTGATTGAAATGTATGTATGTGATCGGAGCGCCATTCAGTAGTAATGTGCGCTCAGATCTAAGCTATCTGGGGATACGTTAAATGTGCATTCAGTAGTTTACAAGTTATATATTTTTGTGTAATTTTATTGTCATGCCTAAAATGGAGGGATCATAATGCATTGTGGGAATGTTTAACTGTACCTGTCCGTGATTGGTAATTTTACTATTCTTGTCACAGTCTTTCACCAAGTCCCCTAGGGGAGTGTCCACCTGGTGGAAGACCTGCATAAATACCGGGCAGACAGCCCACATTAAATCAGATCACTGCTTGACCCGCAACACGGAGCTTTGTCTCGTTCTTGGGGGGATTTGTATTCGTAGGATTTCCTGTTCGTCTATTTGGTTCGTGGATTATTTGGTATGTTTCCTGTTAGGCTAATTGGAGCTTTCGTTAGCTTCTTCTCTATTCGAAAGGTTAACCCCTCTTATACCTGGGTGTACCATAACACACAGGTGTGCCTTAGGCTGGCCACAATAAAAGGCCACTCTAAAATGTGCAGTTTTACTGTATTGGGGGGGGATCCGAAAACCAGTCAGTATCTGGTGTGACCACCATTTGCCTCACGCAGTGCAACACATCTCCTTCGCATAGAGTTGATTGTGGCCTGTGGAATGTTGGTCCACTCCTCTTCAATGGCTGTGTGAAGTTGCTAGATATTGGCAGGACCTGGAACACACGATCCAGAGCATCCCAAACATGCTCAATGGGTGACATGTCCGGTGAGTATGCTGGCCATGCAAGAATTGGGATGTTTTCAGCTTCCAGGAATTGTGTACATATCCTTGCAACATGGGGCCATGCATTATCATACTGCAACATGAGGTAATGATCGTGGATGAATGGCACAACAATGGGCCTCAGGATCTCGTCACGGTATCTCTGTGCATTCAAAATGCCATCAATAAAATGCACCTGTGTTCATGTCCATAACATACGCCTGCCCATACCATAACATCAGCAAACCACTCACCCACACAACGCCATACACACTGTCTGCCATCTGCCCTGTACAGTGAAAACCGGGATTCATCCGTGATGAGAACACCTCTCTAAAGTACCAGACGCCATCGAATGTGAGCATTTGCCCACTCAAGTCAGTTACGACGACGAACTGCAGTCAGGTCGAGACCCCGATGAGGACGATGAGCATGCAGATGAGCTTCCCTGAGACAGTTTCTGACAGTTTGTGCAGAAATTATTTGGTAATGCAAACCGATTGTTGCAGTAGCCATCCAGGTGGCTGGTTTCAGACAATGTTGGAGGTGAAGATGCTGGATGTGGAGGTCCTGTGCAGCTGTGGTTACACGTGGTCTGCGGTTGTGAGGCCAGTTGGATGTACTGCCAAATTCTCTGAAACACCTTTGGAAGCGGCTTATGGAAAAATGAACATTCAATTCACGGGTAACAGCTCTGGTGGACATTCCTGCAGTCAGCATGCCAATTGCATGCTCCCTTAAAACTTGCGACATCTGTGGCATTGCGCTGTATGATAAAACTTCACATTTTAGAGTGGCCTTTTATTGTGGCCAGCCTAAGGCACACCTGTACAATAATCATGCTTTCTAATCAGCATCTTGATATGCCACACCTGTGAGGTGGATGAATCTCGGCAAAGGAGAAGTGCTCCTAACACAGATTTAGACAGATTTGTGAACAATATTTGAGAAAAATAGGCCTTTTGTGTACATAGAAAAAGTCTTTGAGTTCAGATCATGAAAATTGAGGGCTAAAACAAAAGTGTTGCATTTATAATTTTGTTCAGTGTATATATATATTTCCTTTAAAATTATTATTATATAGAAATATTTTTGAGGTGACAATTGTCCTCTAAACAAAATTCACATTTCAGCTGCTAAGCTAATTTACCCACAATCCATCAGTCAAAAGAAATGCCCAACCCACACTGTAGACATCACGGACAGAGGAGAACAAAATGGGGGCACCCAGGTTTTAAGACCCAGCACAAGAAAGAAAATATAATAAATATAAATAAAGACAAGTGGATGAGAGGACAGTGACATCAATGATTAAGATAGAAGGCTAAGAAGGAAAGGAATACTGAAAGAAAGAACAACACACAACAGAGTCACCTTAAAGCACCTCTGATGCCATGAAACTAGGTCAAGTATTTATTTATAAGGTTGGGCACCATGCAATTAAAAATGATGGTTCAGAATATATTGACATTAATACAGTAATCACCTGTGCTCAGTAAGTGGATATAAGGTCATCACCTGACGTTACACCAGACTTCTACACCAGTAACGACAACTCTGTAAACAGTAATCACCTGTGCTCCGTAAGTGGATTTAAGGTCATCACCTGACCTTACACCAGTAACAACAACGTTTTGTGAGTTTATGGCGTTTGTGAATACCCTGAGCAGTACGGTGGTCTACATTAACCGCCAACCCCCTTCTCCCAGATAGCAAATTTAATTTTAGGGGTCCGCACCTTATGATGCATTTTAATTTAATTTAGCAATTCGAGACAAACGTTCACTTTGCAAGGTAAAAGACCCACGCCTTAATGTACACTCGAGCATTAATAATGTTGTGTAACTTGTGTAAATGCCTATTTTATAACAAGGAAGAAATGTATACTTCACCGTGCCAAATGAAGCAATGTTATGTGAATATGCCGTCGGGTGGGTCTGTGTCAGTGACTGCTCCCCTTAGGTGTGGCTCTAGGAACAAGTCGCTAGTAAGAAGTGGTTAATCCCGATAGGCTGGAAGAACTGGATTATTAATTATGATATTACTCTGACTGTGGTGCTTATAATGAACAATAACGTATGACTTCGCACAAAATGGAGGGCAAATTGTTCCCTGTACAAAACACAATACATGCTTTAAAAAAAAAACTGGCTACAATTTATACATAACTGTTAGATAACAGAAACTATTATATGAAGAAAAATGTAGGCGATAAAAAAAAATATCATATAAAAATAAACATTTACATGGATTTTTTTTATGCTTATATATTATTGCCTACCTCTTTCTGTATGTTTTACACTTGCTACATATGGAGATGTAATTATAGGAAAGTCACAGTCGTTTCATCATAAAACGACAACAGTGCTATAAACTTACTCTGTATTTATTTGGATAGTTTTGATTGTTTAATTTTATTACACAGACACTTCTTCAGTATGTTGAAAACTTTATTTGTCCATGCACAAAGTGATCCAGGAATCCAGTAATGCAACTCTTCTGAAATCCCAATAATTTTTAGGATAAAATAAAGGTTGAGGACCCAGCAGCTTACGTTAAGAATTTTTATACTGTGCTAATCCCCCCGGAGCTTTGAGACCAAAATATATTGAATTACACACTCCAGCTAGCTTAGGCCAAAATTATCCCATGGGGTCTGGTGATCGTTTAAGAGGGTGCAGAAGGACTGGTCCCTGGTTTGGTATCCAGACCTATTTCGCCGCAGAGTTTGTCCCTTCCCAAAGTTAAAACACCCACAAGCACTTCCAGCGCTACTAACTGAAACAAATAAATTGCACAAATCTTCACAAACACCAGATAGATGATGATAAAGTGGAGGTAAGATATACAGGTTTGTTGGGGAAACAAAATATTAATACAGACTGCTTTTTGAGCAGTAAACACACAACATCAATCACACAGTGTGTAGATCGCACGTTCGAGAGTCCACTTCACAACAATGTCATGCTTAATGTTATGTTTTCTATTAGTAGTCAAGGTTACTTTCTTAAGGCACTTGGGTTTCTAAAGGAGATCTCCCAGGTCCAGGGTGTCGTTGGATAGAATTCACTTGGGCACTGGGGGCAAGAGACACAAGTAATTTTGTTTTTTTTACTGGGAAATGGCGTTATTGCTAGACTTAACAGGTGGCGGGTATTGTGGCTATATTAAAACTTTGTCCGGGTGAGAAAAAAAATACACTTTGCAAAACATCACTTTTGTTAGAAAGTGTAGGTGGAGGGTCCCAGAAGTCAGTAATAATACATCACCTGCACTCTGCAGTGAGTTTAGGTTCCTTAATCTATGGGTCCACACCTGCACAGTTTGCTATACCTTGTATTTTTAGGAATCAATGTGTATGTCTGGCATTATTATGTTTAATATGCACTAAACCATGGGATGGCCCACTCTGCATTCCTCATAGCCCCCTTGAGCTACAGCTAGGCCCTCTGCTACCTTGCTGTTAGGCTTAGTATTTTATCTCTAAATATCAGGTGCTGAGAACCCCCCACAGATACCATCAAGAATTGTCCTTACAAAATCCACTTCCATTTATAAACCCTTGTGATGGAGGTCCGTCACGGTTGTCACAGGCCTGGCAGTCCTGGGAGCCCAGGCCCCACATTTTCAATATAGCGGTGGAACTACCGCCGGTGCAGACACACGCTGTGGAGACCCATCAGGTGGGTACTGATACAGAGGACTGGTCAGGCACCTGGACCATTTAACAGCCCACCTCGGCCCCTGTGGTATTAACTGGCTGGGAGGAAGTGTTTCTTGTGGACGGTCTTAAGGGTGGGCACTGTGTGTGGGTTCAGGAGCCAGCCATGTGGGCAGACTCGGGGGGTGGGCCCCAAGATTTCTAATGGCAGCACTACCAACACGTCTGCCTCCAATGACTGCCTTTACAAAAGCACTTGCAGCTCCTCAGGATTAGGGCATCATGCAGCTACCAGCTCAGAAAACTCTGCTACTGGAATCTCCTGACTAGCCCCTCTTCACTTCACATTAAACTTATGGAGACACACTACATCCAACACATATAACAGAATCAAATGGGGAATTATACAGGCACTCATCTAACAAAAAAACTTATAATACAAACACTGACAAGTAATGTGTCCCAAGCCTTCATGAACTCAAATATGCAAATCTACCTTAATATGCATATTAACAAGCCTTGCTATTTAGGTAGTGCACATAACTGTTGCAGAGTCATCTACAATCAATAGGTGGCACTGAACAGGCTCCACAGCCAGACACTGGATTGCACAAGACATTCCCAAAATAACATTACGTTATAGATCCTGCACCTATAATGGACACAGGGTGACTTAAACATAAGAATCATCCAGGGACCTACATGAAGTGTCAGATATATGTTCCTAGTGATGGTGACTAACATCACAGCCCTCCTATACAATGGTAAAATAGAGCAAGCTTCAAACTCCCACAGCCATCACTCCTCTTAAACTCTTGGCAAGGGGCACCCAAAAGTTCCCACTCCAAACCTGGCAAGAGTTAAGGTTTTTAGTGCTAAGTAATTTAAAGAGCTATTCTAAGCACTATAACCCTAAGGAGTCCTCATACGGTGTACACAGGTAAGAGTCCAACCATTTACTTGCATCTGACACTTACCAGGGTCCTTCCCACTTTTCTGATATCAATTCTTGCCCGTCTTTCGATGGAATTCATTGGTCGAGAGTGGACCAAGCAACATGAGTTAGTACTAATGGAATGCAGAAACCGTAACCACTACAGTAGGCTGCAAAGTGTATGGTGCCTATACTGACACATTAATGATGAATACATTTACTTTGAATACGTTTGAACTAATTTAGTTTTAATAAGTTTGCATATATAACAAATAAAGAATTAGATAAATTCTGTCACATTTACCATGTCTGGAAACATAAAGTTACCCTGCCGAATGTCCCAACACCCACTTGACCCTGAAAGACCTCTGCCACCACGGTAGGTATGCAAGAAATTATCTAACAGAGTCATCCAGAGTCATGCCGTGTGCTGACTCATATTGAATGTGCAGTTATACTTAGGAATGCTCTGCTAACCTTAAACTCAGCAGAAACCCTATCAAATGCAAATTTAATGAGACATAAACTATCATCATCAAAAATAAATCTTACGAGCCACAAGGAAAAAACAAACAAACAAAAAACTGTTACAATCATAATAGAGAAATCCACAAGCATATAAAGTGTGATTTACTGAGCTGAGAATTGTGGCTCGGTGACCAGGAAATTGTGAATTTTAGGCTATAGAGAGAAAGCATGGGGCACGGAGGGAGGCCCTGCCTCTGTTGGACGCCTGACTCTGGCATGCAGTATGTGCTGAGGTCAGACATCCAATATGCACAGTATTTATTTATAGTAAATAGGACATTTTGTTCTGGTTACCATGAACACTTCTAGTCACTGAAGTGGTCATGGTGCTTGGAGTAACACTCTGCAGAGACACGCATGCATACAAACAGTGTGCTTACAGCTTTTGAGGAGCTCTCGTATTCTGCCAGCGTATATCCGTTATTTGCCTTGACTGGGCAGATGAGCTTGCACTTCAACGGCCATTGGAGTTGTACTAAAAGCCTCCCGTTATTTAAATGTTATCTTGCATTTCTTGTTTTCTTGTTCCGTACGCTCCTGCTAAGTGAATACTGTATTGTAATCCAGCATAAGGTGAAAGGTCACAGATCATGTTTGTTGGCTGCCTAGGGTCATATCTTTATCTGTTCCACAAACTAACTCCTTGTGTTGAGTGCTAATGAAACATATCTTGGTGTACTAGAATAATATGTGTCAATATTTAGCTGCATTGAGGTAATTGTCATTAATACACGTTATGATGGCCTACATTTGAGGACAGCCTAGATAAGGCAGCTGCAGCCAGGTTGCTATTGTGAAATATGTAACATTACAGAATAGCTGGGATCCTGTATTCATAACCTTAACCTGGGGACAAAAATAGGTCGTCATGATGCCATCATGCTTTGCCAGACTTCAGAATGTTAAAGAATCATGGACACATCATTACGTCCATGTTTACCTTAAAGGGTTACTCCAATTATTTATACATTCAACTTGCTTTGTTTTGTAGCACTTGTTAGTAATCCTCCTCTTTCCCCTTATTGTTTGGTTTACAAATGATTTAATATAGCTAAAACCTACCTTAAATCCAGTGCCGGGTCAACTTTGTTCCTGAT